AATATCGGGAAGCACCGTTATATGAAGCTATACGAAAACGTGGATCTATATAACCAATATTCTGTCATCTAAGCTGGAACCCATTACAAATAACAAATACCATTAAAAAAAAACGTGGAAAAATGTGGCAAAGATCATCAAAATACAGAATATCGGGAGGTACCCTTATATGGTTTACCTATATAAACAATGTTCCGAAACTAGAGCTAGAACCCATAACGAACTACAAATATCAATTTTTAGATAAATTGTTGAAAAAATTTGGCTATCACAAAACGTGGACTCATTTTTAATACCTACCATCCTAGACACAATACAAACTACTGTGCCAAACTTAAAAGCTCTACGTCAAAAAATGTTGGCTGTATCGTGATTTCAATAGGCAGAAGAAGAGACAGACGGACATCGTTAAATCGACTTAGAATTTTATGCTGGTCATGAATATATATACTTGATGGTGTCTATCCACCTTTCCAAGGTGGAGGGTATAAAAACATTTAATGAAAGTTTCCGAGTGCACTGAAATGATCATATTATATTGATATTTGATTCCTCCGTCTCTCTCTCTCTCTCTGAGAGTCCATTTAAAAATCAATAAAATGATCTATGTTTATGGACCTTGTGGATTCTTTCAAAAAATGTTAAGATCCACGTTTATGTTCGTATTTGGTATTTTTCAGAAATCCCTCAAAATCCAATTTTATGCGGGACTTTTGGTCCATTCAATTTCGTTTGCGTTTATGAACCCCTTTGGGTTCTTCGAAAATCTTTAAAAAATCCACATTTATATATGTCTGTGTCTCCTCCACCAAATCCCACTCACTCCTGTTCCTCTTAACTCCTCATTTGCCTATCCAAGTATGCAGAAAACAAAAAAAAGAAAACGTTGTTAAGATTTGTTTGCAAAAAAGCTATTCTCTAACAACAACAACTATACATTTTATAAAACAGAAACATGTGTATAGGCTGCAAATAAAAGGAAAATAGCAACAACAACGGCAGCAGCAAAAATAACTTTATCACAAAAATCGTGTGAAAGCGATAACTACTTTAGTTAAATTTGATGTGTTTGCTTTAATGTTCATACTGATATACAAACACATGTATGTATGTAGAAATGTGTAGCGGTTGTTATGCCAGAGTATATTCATCAAGACAGTTGGTGTGGTGATACACATCTGAAATTGTTAATGATGAAGAAGAAGAAAAGCAAACAAAAAATAATCTTGAGAAGTTTTTATTAATTTTTTAAATAAGATAGGAATTAGTACCTCTCCCCATCTCTACAGTTTTAAAGTATGTATAATACTGTTAATTTATTAAAAAACAAATGAATGTGTTGTTGTTTTAATTTAAAAAATTTTATTACATTAACTAAAAATAGAATTAAAAAATACATATTTAACGACATAAATGGTAAAAAACATGTTTATGGTACTCGCGTGGCTGTCCAAACATTTGTAAAACTATTTAAAAAAACAACTCAATGACGGCTTTTGGTTTTCCAAACTGTAGCAAAAACTATGTTTACGGTGTCCATTTCTTTCTTTCGAAAGAGCATAAGAACCCCATCCAAGCGTTCTCATTGGACCCCTAAAAATATTGAAAAAGTATACCTCTGTTTTCTAGATCGAGTTCTTCAAAAACCACATCCATCGATCTCTTTAGACCTTCTCCTTTGATCCTCAATAGTTTCAAAACTCCAGATTTTCATTTATCTTTCAAAAAATGTTTAACATCTTGTCTTCTTCCTTATTCGTGCGCTCTGTTCCTTAAAAATAAAATGCCTATATAGACTGAAAAAGAGCGAAAATTGCGAGAGTTGATATATAGAATAGGACTGGCTGAACAAGTGGGCTAACACAGTATGTACATATCTACATCTTCATGATGAAACTTCTTCAAAAACAAGCAATGTTGAATTGATGGATTTATGATCACAATTTCTTTGAAAACATTCTCTATTTATTTCGCACTCCACGTTTTGGATTTAGGTTATTTTATGTTCACTCGTTTTTGCCTTAATTTTATTCCCAGGCATTATCTTAAACAAAGTTGTCAGCAGAGATAAAAAGGAAATTAAATTAACAAATAGCAAGACTGCTCTTGCTAATGTGTCTTCAAACAGTGAAATGGGAATAGGTGTTCTTAAACAGATACGAGAAAAAGAAAATGATCCTAACGTGAAATATTATTAAGACGGTTAAGCGTGTACTTGGGGGCGTGTGTGGCGGTGAATGTGTTTCCCAGAAATATTATCGAATTCTTCAAGGCAAGGCGGGCAATCAAATCAAATCTCAATTTCTTAATGCTATTTGATTGATAATTTATAATAGGGTTTGCTTGGCTACCACCACACGCTCTCCCTCTCTCTCGCTCCAGACTGGGGGTACAACACACAGCTCGCACACACAACTTCTCGTTTTTTTTTTTTTTTTGAACATGGTGATGATAACAAAAGCAAACCTAACAAATGAAAAGAAAAAATAGCAGCAACAACAATGTCCAGCAATTAAATAAATTTATGATGATGTTGTTGTGACGGTGCATAAACTTACTTTGCAATTTTGAAATGAAAGAAACAACAACAAAGCGTCGGATATTAAGTTAGGAGAGTTTTGTTTTTTGTTTTAATTTTAAAATTGTATTTTTTTGACTTATCATTTTCTTTTTGTTTCTTAATAAAAATAATCAACAATTGTTCTTAGAGTTAAAAAAAGATAATAAATCAATATCGCTGGCAAATATCGAAACAGCATCGATATTTACAAAAAATATATATTGCATTTTAACGAAAAATAGTCGTTGTCCCAAAAAATATGTTTTTCTTTCCTTAATATGTTAAATAGTACATTAATGTATTCATAACAAACTAGTGATATGGGGGTTGTTTTTTCAGTTTTACTTTTAGTTGACGCTATCATTGTTACAAAGATTCGCGCGATACTGTTCGGAACGACTATTTCCTATGTAATATAGTTTGGTAAAATGAATTTGCTTTTTCTATATAAACTTAAAAAATAATGCCTTTTTTCTTTGTATATAACTTAAAACAGACAACGAAACAAATAAAAAATACAAAAAACACAATTTTCTTTAAAAAAAATAAAAATAAAAATACAAAAAAATAATACAAAAAGTTGATGCAAACAAATTTTAAAATAGAATTTAAAAATTTGTCAAAAGTAATTTGGCCGCCGTTCCTTAACAACAATAATAATAATCATAATAATAAAAATAATTATTATTAACAATAATAATAAAAATGTATATGTGTATAATATGTATATGAAGTAGTCATTGCTTTTTCGGGTTTTGTTTGTTTTTGCGTTTATCTTTGTATTTAAAGTACATGCGTATGGGTATTAACATAAGTCCTATGGTGGATTTGGCGGGGAGTGGGTAATTTTAGTTTAGCTGAATCTGTGCGATTTGTGATTTATCTACAGACTTGAATAACTTTTTTTGAGACCTTTTAAAGTAAGATATAACCTGACCATACGATTGTAATAGCACCAAAGAGTTAATATTGTCCAAGTAGCCCAAGTAACTTCAAAGAATCCCAAGTAACTACAAAGAATCTTTTACTCAAATATATATCAAGAGATTTTTATAACCCGATTCTTGTAATCTTTTCTATTTTTTAGCTTAAAATTACTAGTTTATTTACGAAGTGAAAAAGTTGCAACTTTTCTCAATTTAAGTACCGAAGAATAACTCAAAGGTTAGACACCTGAAATTCCATAAAGAAACCACCAACAGGATTTCAGAGTGTGAATTCTACATAAAAAATTGATGAAAAATCAAGATAGTTTCTGGCCTGGAAAAAAAAGAAAATTAATGAGCATTCTCTCTATTTTAGCTCTACTTCCAGGTTTTATCCATGATCCATTTTGGGAAAAACTTGAAGGGAGATATATCGATAAGAAAATACATAGATTTTATTGAAGAAACTATTTATTTTATTTTTGTAAGTGAATAGCGACGAATAGAATCTACCGATAAAATAAATGAGCTTTCTAGGATTTGCTGTGGTTTTGAAACATTCTATAGATAGACAATTTTCGGAGGTATTTTATAAGCCTATGTCTAGTGTTCTTTATGCGTTTTTTTATACATGGAAGTCCCGTAGATCTTCTCCCCTCTTTCAGTTCTTCTGGAGGTCTTCTATACAAAGAATAATTATAAAATTGTCTTTGATGGTTAGAACATACAATGATTACGTTTAAATTGTTGTTGTTTAAAAAGAAACAATGGAAAGCGCCTACTTTTCCGCCGAATTATCACTTCCCTTACTCCGATACCGAACTGGAACTTATTTTGTTTTGCTATTATTCTACATTTTAACTTCTGATTTCGATTGAAGAACCACAACATAATCTAGAAAATAAATTAGATTTAGATAGCACTCATCAAGACAAAATTTAAAAAATCTCGTTTAAGGTTACAAGAATGTATTTTTATAAGACATTTCCAACCTGGAATGAGTTCTTTTCTGTACATTTTCTATTTTCCACTCGGGACCATGTCAACCAGGCAATTATCCTAATTTAAACTTTAACGATCTTAGATAGCAATCCTTTTTTCAAAGTGGAACTTTCGCGTGCCTGACACACTATTTACCCTTACAACATCCATTGAAAAGTCCATACTTCAACTTCAAACCTATAACAAGAAATCGGTTTAGAAAAATTTGCATTGATTCGAGAGTTCGTATTCGGACATTGCGTGTATCTACACAAATAACAAAATTCACCTATAACAAACAAACAAAATAAAAACATAACAAATTAGTATCACATTTCAACAGCTAAACTAAAATTCAAATACATCCCCCGCCTTTAAAAAAGTTAAAAATTATGGATGGTCGTGGTGTCAAAAACACTCACACATATAAACTACTATACATAACTTATTTTTATTACGTTTTGAGCTACAGTTTAACTACTTTTTTTAACCATCCAAAATGATACATATTTGAGCAGCGCTAACTTTTCCTCTCGTTTTTTTGTTAATATAGTTGGAACTTTTTGTGACATTACAGCAGCTAGCTACCTGTTACCGTCAAGGCATATCAATATCCAACGTATCCGGTGATAACAATAACGATTCATTGGGACCCGATGTAACCATGCCCAATTGATCGCCCATAATGGCATGTGAGAGATCTACAGAATGATGATGAGGATGCGTAGGATCATCGTTGTCATCACGCATATGATGCAAATCGTTGTGATGATGATGTTGCGTTGGCTCCAAAGTATCTAAATGACTTTGTCCGTCCAGGGTGTGTTGATGTGATGACGATAGTAAGGGATCACGACCATGTTGTAGGGAGGAAGGCGATGTTGGATAACTGTCGCTATGATGATGGTGGTGGTGATAATGCAAATGGCCACCTTCACCCACCGATAATAAACCGAAATTTGGACTGCTGCCCGTACTGCCATTGCTGGGACTTGGAGGACATTGTAAAAGACTGGAACTATTCTGATGATGATTGTGTTGGTTGTGCTGGTGATGTTGCCCAAGATGCAAATGATTATGGGAACAGTTACAACTGCCAATTAAATTACAGCAACTGTTATTTAACATAAGAGAGCTGCCATTTTCATTGGTCCCGCAACAGCTTGGAGAGTTTGTATAGCCACATGAGCCGTTGTTATTGTGAACACCACCAGAGGGCGAGGGCATTGAGGAACCAACACCACCGCCACCACAAACATATAAATCATCAATGGACAAATTGTGGTGACCGCAATCATTACCATTCGATGAGCCAAAGCCATGTAGACTACTCGCCAAACTGTTATTGTTGTTGTTGCAGTTGGTGTTGGGGGAATGAGGAGCTGAGGACATTAACTGCACACCATTTTGCGCCGAAAACATCGGATCATCACCTTGCATTATCACAGGTTTACTATCCTCCATCATATCATCGTTGGTGGTATTAATACTGAGACTGTTTTTAGTGTTGTTGCTGTTGCCACCATTTAGTAGGTTCGGTGGTGGTTTTGTATCCGCATTTGTTGTTGGGGCTGTGGCTTCATTTATCAACGGTGTCGAATGATGATTCAATGAAGAGGCTGCTATCGCTGTGGCTGTCGCCGACGTGGGACTAGGACACTTTAAATATGAGGCACTATTGGTGGGAGCTGATACTGAGGTCACATTGAAATCACTCAAAGGCAAGCCGTGTGATTTGGCCTGCATTTCCAATTCCTTAATGCGGTTGAGCAATCGACGATTCTGCGCTTCGGTTTGACGAAAACGATACTCATTCTGCTTCAAACGGGCCACTTCATGTTTCAGACATTTAATATAGTCTACAGAACTTTTCAATATGGTACCTTTGTTAGGCCGTATATCTCTGACAACCTCATAGTAGGGGTCATTGGTTTTCGGTAGCAACGTGCCCAGCTCCTTGATCCGATCATTTATGTTAAAACGACGACGTCGTTCGATCATATTGTGATTGTCTTTCTTTTGGCGATCCTTGGCCAAGGCACTGGCCTCGACTTCATTAAATGAATTGGGTTCTTGTTTGACTTGAATCTCGGTTGGGTAGCTGCCACTGGGCGTTGTGGCCGCACTGTTATTACCCTCATCCATTTTCATGGTGTCGTTGAGATTGCGCGAATCACAACCATGCAGAATCTCATCGAAATCCAAGTCTGCATCACTTTCAAACGATGGTATTTCCGAGTTGCTTGTGGCCACTGAGCTAAGCCCAGGTGACATGGGTGTTGAGTGTAGGGGACTGGTAATACTGCCCGGACCCGAACCATTGGTGGTGGCTAAGAGATTTGTATTACGCATAAGGGTTACCAAGTTGTTTGGATTTGAGCGGCTTTGTAGGGAGTTGGATTTTTTACCATTTACTTTGGAGTTTTGTAATTCAGTAACTGAATTGAGGTTATTATTGTTGTTGCTGTTATTGTAGTAATTGTTGCCATTGCTACCGACACTAAAGGGTGACAGGGTAATGGCATCATCCATCATGGATGAGCTGTTGGGAGTGTTAGATCCAGCTGGTGTTATGCGCACATGCCGAGGTGAGGCATTGTTTTCATTGTTGCTGTTGTTGACCATACCTCCGCCACCGGTATAGCTGCTAGAACGATCCTGTTGATTGTTATTGCCACCAATTAGTTTAAGATTTCCCGCCGAAGCTGAGGCACCCGTGTGTTTGTTCTGAAACAGTTGACCACTCCATTCGGACTGTTTAAAGGATTCACTTAAATACTGACGGACCTGATTCTTTTGTTTTTGTATCACATGGTAACGCGTGGGATTCTCAAGAACTGTGCGCACCTGCAGCACCTGTTGAGGAACATCCACCTCGATATTTTGTAGAGGTACCTTTAATGTCATTGGACTGGAGGATTGTGGTGTGGTATTAAAACTATTGTTAGAATTGTGACTGTCGAAGCGGTTGCGATTGCCGTTGCTGCCATTGCTGTTAGCCACAATTTGTGGGGAACTACTTTGTTGTATATTGTATATTTGCTGCTGTTGTTGTTGCTGCTGCTGACGTTGTTGTTGCATTTGTTGTCGCTGCATTTCTAAAGCCTCAGCTTCCCGTTTTTCGGCTTCCAAGCGTTCCATTTCCTGTTGCTGCTCACGTTGCAATTGCAATTTTAGCTGTGTCCTTGAGGTGGGATTGACAGTTTTAAAGGTCGGAATACTATCGGGTCGAATGGATTGCGTTGCGGATTTCAATTCATAGAATTCCACCTCATCAGAATGAGGTCCGGAAACCTTGACCGCTGGCAATACATCTTCCAGCTTGTCTTCATCCATTAGACATTGATAGTCGATTTCGAAGTCGAAATCCAAATCGATCCCTGATTCAGCCATGTTTCCAGTTGTTGCTTTTTGGCAATGATGAGTGTGCGTGCGTTCGAACTAGTTTGTATGAGTGAGTGTACGTGTGTTTGCTGTTATTTAAAAAGGGCTTTATAACAATTGAAGTTGGTGGGGGTGGTGGGTTGGTTGACTCGTACTCGCAATCGCTATCTTGCACTCACACTCACTTTGCTGCGCTCTCTCTCTCTCTCTCTGTATTTTGCCAGAGGAACTTTTAATACTTTTAGTTAGTTTTCTTTTTGTTTTGTTTAAAGATATTCCTTTTTTGTTGATTATATATAAAATTCTTTTAACTATACGTCGACGACCACCACTACCTTCGACGCAAACATATTATTTTTCTTTTATTTATTTTGTGTATACGACGAACAGGAGACGACAATGGTGGCGGCAACGATCACTAAAACCATGTCGGCGACGACGACGGACGACCAGACAGGCTAAGTTGGTGATTCTTATATCTTTTTATAATGGCAAAAGAAACAAAAAAAATATCTGATAGATTATCACAAAATTTCACTGACTTTGATTTCGGCGTAAGTTTTATTTGCTCACTTTTGCTTGTTAAAAAGAAAACATTTATTGCACCATATTATCTCTCGCCTCTGTTTCTCTCACTTTCCACTCTCTGGTGGTTATGTGCTGTATGTAATTTACGCCTTTTGTTGTTGTTATAATTCTTATTGTGACGGCAGTAAAATTCCTTTACTTTATATTTATTCCACACACCACCAACAACTTGAGTTTCCAAGAAGAATAAAAACAGCCAAAAATACCAGCAAGCAAGTGTTGAAAAAATCCCATTCGAACAGAGAAAATAAAACGTAAAATTAAAAGATGACGATTTGATGAACAACACGGCACGATCAGAAGTAAATAACTTTGACATTCCCCTTCAAGAGGAGAATGAACGAACGTACGGGACGAACATTAAACGACGATAGTCAATTTGAACTGCCATGGGCATTTGAGCATTACCATATCACTAAAAAAATTATCGAGCCGTGAACAAATGAATGAATGGATTCTCGATTCTCTCTTTCTGGCTACTGTCACTTGTCAACCAGCCCAACTGGCCAGCCAGATAGCTAGGTAGCACAGGTGTAAGGTGGCAACGCGTGCTATGTTTGGGTTATGTAAGTTTACGAGCGAGCGAGCAAACACATCAAAGCTTTTGAACAATTATTTTCATGGAGTGCGCGGGGGACAAGTGTATTTATTTTTCTTTTCTTTTGTTATACATTTCTTTCGATTGTTTTAAAGTATTTTGTTTTCCATTCGTTCGGCACTCTTTCACGACGTATTGTCCTTTTGGTGAGTTTCAACGCGGCAATGTTTGTTTTTTCCGATGGAAAGATCCCGGACTCTAGCGCACAATAGTAAGAAGACGAATTGCTCGACTTTACACACGATACACGATCAACTTACTAGTTTTTTAACGTTCACCCCCCAATTGACGGTCTTTCAATGGCAATAGTGTTGCCAGAGGGTTGTGGGAGTTTATGGATATCGATCTTTGGGAATTTTGAAAATTACTAGGAACGTAACAATGGATCTTTTAAAATTTTATTAAATTAACAAATAGTCGTCAGGACAAAACACCTAAACACCATGTCTAGGTTTGAACCACAACATAGTAGAGCTGATTACGGAACTCCAATATTGAGAAATCACCCGTTATTCCGGGAGATCATCAATGTTTCCATTACTAGTTAACCGCATTGGCACTTGTTTCGCCGAAAAGGATTGCAATTTTTTATTGGCGACTTAAACGTTTGTGGCGAAATATGGTTTTCTTGCGCTTCCATCAACTAGGACGTCCCTACGTAATGATAAAGTTCCCTCGACATTACTTCTTCCATTCCATCGCATTAACTTTGTGCCATGAAAAAAGTAAGTCTTTAAGCTCAATAGGAAAAGATCTCCAGCGTCTGCCATCACTGTACTGAAATTCGTCTTCGCCGAATAAGGACAAGCGAATTGTTATCTAGAGATGTACTTCCTATTTGCACTTTTCAGAAAATCGCAGGCGTTGTAGAGGCTCGAAATCTATATAAGCGTTCAATACCATGGCAGAAGAATACAGGTAGATGCATCAACGCTTGGGAGCATTGATATGTCAAAAAATTTTAAATGTTTTTCAAATATGAGTAGATTTTTAAATGTTTTCTTATACAACGTCATTAGGAGGTTATTATAATTCGAGTTTTTTTTAACAATTTTTACAAATTTAAATAATTTTTCATTCAACATTTTCAATTCCAAAATTGATTTGACGGTTCATTGTCCCTTCAGCTGTGTCGATGCGTCTACCTATATTCTTCTACCATGGTTCAATCCGGTCGATGATTTACTTTACGGTCTTGAAGAAGAAAGCTACTTGAGAAAACAATTGTGACAGTTATGTTACTGGGAGTTTAAAGATACTTACTAGGAAAACTTGCAATTTAAAACCATTTTTCACTTTCAACATTTAAGAAGTAAATATTATTGTATTCATCGAAGTGCATAATCCAAATGTGGTGGTTTACAAATTTGTACACTTTTCGCAGAAAAATGTGAAAGCACTAGAAGGCACCTTATGCGGACACTAATACCTCTAATTCGTCGAATAGTTCATCTATTTAGCAAATCTGTATACTAAAAACTTATGTGGCAACCAATTCTTACATACAACTTGGTCCATATTTTCAAAAACCTTTTCTTTTTCCTTTAAACGAATCCCCACTCTCTAACATAACATCTCAGATATGGCAACATCAGATAAAATCTCTCTGCTTCTTCACACACATAAATAAACAAATTAGCACAAATTAACACAGACGTAATAACAAATTAACACAATTATTACCAATTCAAATTCAACACGATTTAACTCCCTCAAGATAACTTTTATTTTTTTTGGTTGTTTGTTGGTCGGTCTGGTTGGTAGCACATTTTATGCTCAATGCTCACTTATTTGTTGTTATGTGCATTTAACGGCTTGTCGGCTTGAATCGATCGACGGAAACTCCACTAATTGGCAATTGAGATGGAGAGAGTAATTGTATTGAATTTATTTTCTTCTTTACGAAATCGTGTTTCTTATAAGAAAATGATCTCCAATTATATCAATACGATATAATTTAAATAAAATAATGTAATAATAAAATTCAGTTTTATCATAAGTAATAAATGCCTGTTATTTTAATAAAAATTGCGCTGAAGAGTGCAATGTAATTAATCAGTGCATTTGAAATTGTTAATACACGGGTTTTCCAGTACATTCTAGTTTCGTAAAGTTTTGCATTTTACGGCTTACAGCAATTTACAGATGTTTAGGTGGCAACACCTTTCTTGTATACTCCACAATCTGGTTGCGCATACTAAATAATGCCATGTTCCGATTATCATTGTTCCATCCATACGTAAATTCATATGCATATATTTGTTTTTTTTTCCAGAATCTACTAGTTTTGAAATGTTTTTCGATATCATAAAGTTATCATAGTAAAAATGTTGACATTCTTGCAGTTCTGTAACTGAACAATTGTTAGGAAAGTAGTTGGTAGATTTTGGTTTGTACCAGAGTTGCAAGAATTTAAAAATGTTTACTACGATAACCGATTTTTCCTTTATGATATCGAAGAAAATTACAAAACTAATGGAATCTTGCATGTACTGGAATAGAGCATTATTTTTCGTTTATTTTATAAAAATTGTTTAAATCGGCTAAATACAGCTTCTTGCATTACTTGTATGAAATAAACTAAACTATACTAAATTTGTAAAAATTGTTGAAAAATGCGTTATGATATGCTTTTTTCAACAATTTTTAGTTCCGATTCTCCGCTCCGATTGGTGTTGTATAAGAAAACGTATAAAACTCTACTTATTTTTGACAAAACATTTTAACAATTTTGACATATCAATGTTCCCAAGCGTTGGTGCATCTACCTATATTCTTCTACCAAGGACAATGAATAAAAATACTTGGTTTGTTCTAGAACTGCAACGATGTAAAAAATGTTAATACTATAACCGATTACCCTTTATGATATCGATAGAAATTGCAAAACTAGTAGATTTTTGCAGTTTCTGGAACAGAGCAACTGTTTGGGACATCTGGTTACAGGTAGAAGCATCACGGCTTGCAAAGATTTTTTTTTTTCAAAAATAAGTAGATTTTTATACGTTTTCTTACACGACATCTATCGGAAGTCGTTATGATATACATTTTTCAAACATTTTTACAAATTTGAATTTTTCCTTCAAAATTTTAAATTTTGAAATTGGTTTGACAGTTCATTGTTCCAGCAGCTGTGTCGATGCGACTACCTGTATTCTTCTACCATGAAAGACAGTAAACATTTAAATGACAACATGCTCGCTACTGTCATCGTCACTGTCTAAGACATATAGACACAAATAATTGGCAAACTGATGCTGCAACAAACCCAAAACTTATTTTTTACTTGACTGGATGTTTGTTTAATAATAAAGTGAAATCGTTCAAATATGGACAAAAACGTCTAAAACTTGAGCGTATTTTAAAATGCATTTCATAGATAGAAATTTCAAAACTCGTAGATTCCTTCAGGTTCTTGAACAGAGCAACTGTTTGTAAAATACGGCTTGGAGATATTTTTAATTTTTTTTTTCAAAAATAAGTAGATTTTTATACGTTTTCTTATACGAAACCTAACGAAGGCCGTTATGGTATGAATTTTTCAAAAAAAATTACAAATTTGAATAATTTTTCATTCAAAATTTTAAATTTTAAAATTGGTTTGACAGTTCATTGTCCCAGCAGCTGTGTCGATGCGACTACCTGTATTCTTTTACAATGAAAGACAGTAAACATTTAAATGACAACATGCTCTCTACTGTCATCGTCACTGTCTAAGACATATAAACACAAATAATTGGCAAACAGATGATGCAAAAAACACAAAAACTTATTTTTTACTTGACTGGGCGTTTGTTTACTAATTAAATGAAATCGTTCAAATATGGACAAAAAACGACTAAAACGAGAGCGTATTCTAAAATGCATTTCACTGTATCGAAAACATGAGTGTTTATGGAATACAAACAGTGCCACATTCCGCCAAAATAGGATGAAGATTAGGGCAAGTACTCTTTGTTTTGGAATATACGTGTATAAATGAAACTCAGTCGACCTTTTTAAGCTAGGCTCTTAATGAAATTGGCTACGAACTCAACATGACCGTGGAAGAGGTTAAGAAAAAAAATCAAGTCTCTGAGAAGTACGTACACACTGGAAAAGAAAAAGGTGGAGCAGAGCATACTGACTGGAAGTGATCCAGATGATATGTATATACCTACCTTGCATTGGTATGGGGAGATGACATTCTTGGATGACCATATAACGCAAAGAAAGCGAAAATCTAGTGTTAATGGTGTAAGTACTTTGTTTCAGTTGTTAATATGTTAACCTTTTTAATATTTTACGTTAATTTGAAATTTAATGGTGAATAATGTGCTTGTTTTGAAAAATGCAAATGACTACAGGATAGAACAATGACATGCTTTCTGGGTCGATCGTTCGATACATGTAATTTAAACCGCCGCATTACACCTCAAGCTGCTGAAATGTATAATTTAAAGAAAAATAAAAGTATAAAATTTAGAAATCAGATGGGCTTACTGGTCGACCTTATGTAGGCCTTGAGTTGGCTTGCCTTCCCCGAGTAAAAAGAAACAGTTCAGTACACTCACAATAGCACTCATCTATAATAGTGTATCATCGTTTATTTAAAGAACATTTTTTCACTGAATTCATAAATGCACCAACCTCATAATTATGATTCTTCATGATTTTCAGTATTTTCATGGTTTATGAAAAGGTCACGCAGAATTCGATTTAATTTTATCAACTTAAAGTAAAGACTTGTTGTTGCATCAAATCCTTAGTGAAAATCAAATCCTTCAAAGAAATAAAAATGTTGACAAATTTTTCCTTTACATACATTAACAGAATTTTACAAAATCAATGGTTTGCTTGTCCAAACAAAAAAGAAAATCCGAATAGACTTTCCCAAAATGTTGTGTTCAAATCTCCTTTAGTTTATTCAAATTTTTTTGTCTATTCCAGGAACATACTGATGAAACAATATTGTTGGAAGACTCAAACACCCAGTCATACGATTCAGACCAAAGCCTAACCATACAGTCGGTTCGTGAAAGACAATACAATGTTGAAGTCAATACAGAACAAGTTGACGAAGCAAATAGAGAAATTGTAAATACGCGTAAAATTGACGCTTTCAGTGCATTTGCGGATAGCATGGCGATGACATTACGCACAATGCCGGAAAATATTGCTTATAAAACAATGGCAGAAGTACAAGAATTATTGTATCATCGAAAATTTGGTATAACAGCTAATGGCGATACAAAATCCCAGAGTGAAAACTACATCATACCCAACATTCAATCGGATACGAATGAAACGGAGGTTTTATTTGACATAGTCAAAGAGGAAATAGACTGAACTTTGTTGCCTAGGTATAGGATTTTATTTTGTTCCATATATACAAATAATAATTTTAAAATGATTTTTTTATTATTTGTTTTTGTTCTTTGAAAATTTTTACAAAAATCGTCATCAAAAATCAAAAATCTGAAAGTTGTAGCCAGCAACTACAACTTGTAATCTATTAATCTGTCGAATAAACCTCAACATCATGAAGCCCCCCTTTTTATGCTGATATGAAAGTAAATGCAAATTAGTTTATTTACTTGTTTGGTTTTTTTCGACGTGAACCAACATTTTGAAAAACAAATTTGGAATTGTAAATTTTTCGTATTCGCTTTCGTATTTATATAACAAAGCAGGTCATTGTGATTAACATTGGCTCATAAATTTCCTTTCTCATTTCGCTTGTCCACAATAAATAGGAACTGAAAATTATCTGAATATGAAAAATGGAACAAGTTTTCCTTTAGGTACATGACGAAAAAGATTATGCTTTTACCGGTGATAGTTTTTCCATGCTTATTGACATTATTTTTTGCGAAATGTGATATGAGCCACTAAAGTTCAGATTCCAGGGAAAATTGAACAAGACACAACAATATTGGTCTGTTTCAGAACTGCAAAAATGTAAAATTTTTTACTACGATAACAGATTTTCGCTTTGTGATATCGAGCAAAATTGCAAATCTAGTAGATTTTTGCAGGTTCTGAAACAGAGCATATGTTTATAGTTTGAAAATATCTGAAATTTTATTGCTCTGTTCCGGTTTTTGCAAGAATCTACCAGTTTTGCAATTTTTTCGATATCATAAGGAAAACCCCGGTTAGCGTAGTAAACATTTTTACATTCTTGCACTTCTGGAACATGGCATATATAAATAGTCAAAAACGCCAGTTATGGGTACACAAGCTATTCAAAATAGCGTCAATTACTTTTCTAGATGCAGAGTTATTGGAATAAACCAGAATTATGCAATAAATCCTGATAATGTATGTATATATAAGCTCAATAGCCTACCCCATGGTAGAATGAAGAGAAGGTAGGTCAACTTTAAAAAAATTGCAAGTATAGAGGTCTACCTGTTTGGCTTGTAATGTCAAAATTAGTATCAAAATAATAAAAAATCAAACAACTTGTTGCATTTATTTTGAATAAATAATTGAAAACCGCGAAAACTGAATGAAAGGTCAACACTTCTTTTCAAAACCAGGTTCTATATATCTCTAAAGGATTATTTCGCTACAAAAACTCTAGATTTTGTGGATGCATACGATGAAATAAACATTTTGAAAACATCCGAATTTGAATGTTTTCTGAACAATTTTTTTGTTATTGAAAAGAAAACACATACATAAACAAATAAAGATGACATATTAAGCCAAGAAAATAAAAAAATTGAAATCATATGGTATCATAGCCCTACCTTGATATCATTGTACCATGCATGGTTCTATGTAGGCATATACGAAGGTTTAAGGTTTAATTTATTGATTTATTTAAATCATTATAATGATAAAAACAGAACTTCACTAATATTAGGTAAGACTTATGATTATACTGTATGATCACTATTTACAATAAATGTTTGCAGCATTCATGGAAATTTACAGAAGGTATAACAAAGCTACCCCCTAAACACAATATTTTTCTTTCGGTGCGCTAATCTGTCAAAACATATACACATTTTCTGTATGTGTGTATAGTTTTGAAAAATAAATACCAATAATTTGGAATTATTTCAAATTCGGTTGCAAAATAAATTATGTTAATGTCCATTCTTGTTTCGCAGGTTTTCCCGAAAAATTTTCTTAAAATATAAAAAATAAACAAATCCAACTGTTGCATATTTAAAAGACTATTTGACACTATAAGACTACAGCGCAGAGTTGCATTTTTCTAGTTTCTTTGGAGTTGAGCAAACTTTCTTATTGAGCCATGGCAGCATCAAGCTTTGCTTTAACAATTAATTAAATAAATAATCTTTAATTGTTATTATAAAAATGTTTTGAGTGTGAAACTCGATTAAACTTACAAACTAAGAAACACGTTGTTTTTATTCATTCGATATTTTTCCTCATTCTAAAACAAGTTAAATAGCTCGAATGATAAACGAAATGCCTGGATTTTCTTTCAAAAATATGATCTAAACTATTCAATCTTTCAATTCCATAAGAGAAATGGTTATTACCTTTAATCCGCTCTCTGCACTGTACGTTTCTTCCATTCATTCATTTTGAAACTATTTTGTTTTTGGTTTTCAAAAAATAAACATACACAAAATTGGCAGAAGTCGGACACACATCGAAAAAATTGTAATCAGTCGGTAGCTCTACCTTACCTTTTTATTGTACCATGATTGCAAACAAATGCACATATGAAATATGAAAGTGATATAGGCGAATGCAGAATTGCAAGAATGTAAAAGTTTTTACTACGATAGCCAATTTTCCCTTTATGGCATCGAAGAAAATTAAAAAACTGGTAGATTTTTGCAGGTACTAGAACATAGCAATTAATATGTCAAATTTAAACCGCTTACCATTACTCGATCTATATATCCCTAAAATCAGATGTTAATGCACTGTTTCTAGATCCCTAAAATCAACAAATTTCCAATTTGCTTTTGCTCTTTTTCTATACAGAGAGACTCCTTTGTCCGTTTGTTGTGCTCCTCTATTCTAAACAGAGAATATTCTCTTCTGTTTTGTTTCATTCCTATGTTTATTGGTCAAATTCTTTTTCTCAACTTTCTGTGTTTGTGTGTCATTTGACATGACAGCATATTTGACATATTCGTTTCGTCGACTGATTCTATCTACGCCCCTTGAAAATCTTTTGTTTTTACACAAAAACCACAAAAACCTATTTCAAAACCCGGGAAAACATGGATTTACAACAGCTGGAAGAGGAGGCACGCCAGGCCGCTTTAAAAGACATTAAAAACATGCTGCAACGTCCGGGACAATTGGAAAAAGTTGAACAGTATCGTCATCGAGTGGCCCGAAAAAAAGCTTCCGTTGAGGCTCTGCTCAAGACTGGAATGCAAAACCAATTAGAAGGAGTACGGGTTGGTCTGAAACAGCTAAAAGCTTGTCTAGAAGATGTGAGAGAGGTGAAGCGTAGCATCAGTGAAGTGGAAAAGTTAATGCAGGGCGTACCCGAGCTATACGATGCACTGGAAGATGTACGTGAGGAAAATACCAAACATTCTCAATTGGCCACAGCTGTGGAGAACATCAAACACATATTGAATGTGGAGTCGAGTGTTCAAAAGACAATGGCTCTAATCGATGAGGACAAGTTGTTAAACGCCCATCAATGTTTGGCTGACTTGGAAAATGCCCGAGATGATTTGTTGTATGAACTGCACAAACAACCGAAGCAGCATGCTTCTGATAGAATAACGCTGAAGACTCATTTTGAGAAAATTGATAGCGTGGCCCAGGCTCTGGAGAAGAAACTTCGTCTGATACTAAGTCGAACACTAAATACGGTACGTAAGGAACCAAAGTACATTGTTACGGCCTTGCGTATAATTGAACGAGAGGAGAAGAACGATCAGTTTGCCCTGCAACAGGAAAAGGTGACTTCATTTAGGCCACCTGGACGTCCACGTCAATGGCGGGCTATGGCAATGAATGTCCTCAAAGAAGCTGTCGTGACACGTATTGAAGGTTCCCGGGTGGAGGAGAGGGAAGATAATAAAATGTGGTTGGTCAAGGACTTGGAGATGCTGCGGCGGAATATTTTGGTCGACTTAAGAGTGGTGAAATCTTTGTGTGTGCCTTGTTTCCCACCGCACTATAATATATTTGAGGAATATGTACGGATGTACCATGAGGCATTGTCGAACTATGTAAGTCAATGTGAGAGGTCATGTGAAAAACGGAGTTTTCTAAAGTTGTTCTCTTTTACAGATTGAAAATATTGCCAGTGGCTTGCAGGGCAATGAATATGTTTCCTTACTTTCCTGGGTCATTAACACCTACCCCGGCTATGAACTAATGCGCCATCCTGACCTAAATGTTAACATACAACAATTGGTGGGTCCGCTATTGCCGCCCAGCCGCCTTCGCACTTTGGAAGATGAATATTTGGGCAATATGCAAAAGAATTTCACTGAATGGATGGCAAATACAGCCGAAAAAGATCGTTCTCAATGGTTCTCGGAAGAGACACCCGATCAAGCTGAACAATATTATCACAGTCCTGCAGCAGTGATACTTTTCGAAATGATCAATCAACTGCTGCAGGTCACTGAAACAATACACAGCGATTTGACATTCAAAGCTCTTGTCATGAGCGTACGACAGTTGGATATTTTCGGCCAAACTTATTTGAAATATGTGGTCGAGTTGAAGGAGCACCACTTCCCTAAGCGTGATCAAATTAAATTTTTTACCCATCACATAATAGCTATTGTGAATAACAGCCAACAGATTTTGGATTTGGCCCAACAGCTAAAGCAGAAATATTGGCCCAATGCTCGTACCGAACATTACGAAGATTTTGAAAAATTGCTTGAAACATTCCAACTTATTCGTACACAAGCAGCAGGCTACCTACTGGAAGAGGCCTTTTTGGATTTGGATGGCTATTTCAATGAATTATTCAAACCAGAATGGCTGACATCTACTATCTCCGTAGATACCATATGCATAACGTTGGAAGACTATTTTCAGGATTACAATCATTTGACGCCTTGCAATTTCGAAATGGTCATCAACGAAGCTCAAAAACAATTGGCCAAACGTTATATACGCGCCATGCTGTCGAAACGTCTATCCCGTCCCACATCCGACTGTGAAGCGATAAAAACCAAGATCACTCAAGAAGCCAAGCGTCTGGAGAGGTTCTTTGAAAAAATCGCACCGAATCTTTCGCTAAACGATTCTCCTTTGAAATTAATTTCAATGCTCTCGGGACTTTTGGTGTGCGATCTGGAAGTTTTACTCCTAGATTTACACACTCTCTTGGGTAATTACCCCTCTTTGACAGAGGAACAAATTGTACGTCTATTCTATATTCGTAACGATGTTAAAGCAGCCGAAGTAAGACAGAAAGTACAGGATGCAAATCAATCGAAGAA